GCGGGCATACAGGATCCCATCCAATTGGATTTCACAGTGGTAGTGCTTCCTGGGAGACAAGTCTCGGGCTTCATATACCCAAAGATTTAACCTGTTTTCCACCCGTTGGACGTTGTCCTGGAAAATGGATGCATGGGACAATATTAAGAGCTGGGATTAGATGCAAAACAAGATGTGCTACAACTTGCGCAGTGTGGCACCTTTATTGATGTGTTGAACTGTAATTCCTATGAAAGCCACACTTCTACCATAAGTACTGAAGACAACTGTTGCCAAGTGCTTATACATATAAGTTTATTGTATACTAAAGCTCTCCAAGAATCTGAACTATTAACGGCCAAAGCAAATTGGTGGTAGATCAGAGTCAATGGAATTCAAGATGTGATGGACTTTAAATCTATGATGGGCATGAAGGAAGTCAAGACCGATGGTGTGTTTGACCCTCCCTTGAGCTCAACCAGGTCAACTCTACAACTATGCGGTGATACACAAAACCTTTTGATATGAAGGTGAAGTCACAAAGAAAAGGCAAGAAGTAAACATGATTAGGTCCAAAGCAGTTGAAAGATTAAGGATTTGCTGGTGGGAGTAGTGGGTAGACACACAAGTGGGGGAGGCTGGAGGGGCCTGTCAGTCTTTGCAAGCACTGGCAGCTCTTTATGACTTCTTGATCTTAAAGACTAGAATTTCTGCTTTGGATGAATGACTGAGATAAGAACAGAGACCATGGCAGAAGAAGAGTAAGGAAGATTTTTTATAAGGAGAAGATAGAGGAAGAAATAAAGTGGTTTGGGGAAAGGAGTTTCCTATGGAAAAGTATCTCCATTTTATGAACAGTACAAGTCAAAACTGCTTTACCATACTGGGCTGGACAGCTTGACGTATGTTCTCCATCCAATGGGTTCTCTCAGCAGCAGATGAACAGTTAAAGCAGTAGCGTTTCCCAGCCCTCAGGATCTAAGAGAGGAGAACTCTAGTTAAGACATGCCCTGGGCCAGCCGGGTCTCTTCTATCATTCAGGCGTAACGGTCCCTTTGTCGGGATTAACAAAGTGAGGGAGCAGAAAGCAGCTGAAATGTTGCTTATTGCATGATCCATGACTGCCAAAAGAGCAGGGGTTCATATAATACATTCATCGTGAGATATCAGACTAAGCTGATTTGCCAGGACTATCAGAGAGCAGAGAGCACTTTTGCTTATGCAGCTCAGGCAGCAAGGGGTTCTGGGCTGCAGCTGCCCTGTGACCAAGGGTATACTGTACAGGTTAAGCCTTTCATAGGCTTTTATAGACCCTGGCAGCCAAGAACTTCCTGGAGCCCTTCATCTAGCCAGGACAACCTTATGGATGAGTTTCAATCTGAAGGTCGGTGAATCTCCAGGACCACTTGCAGAATGTAGAAATATTCATTAGTGAACCAAGTGATGAAATAATGTATAATTATTCTATACCTCAAAGCAGTGCTGCTCTCCCACAAGGCTGCTATGAAGGGGTCGGATCAAGACTTCTTTCTCATTGCTTAGGTCCAGGGTGAGAGCTGGGCCAGGCAAGGCCTCCCTGTAGGAAGCAATAAGAAATATAACGTGTCCATGAACTCCAGTGTATTTGCAAAGATCAATCATTATCTGGACCTATTGCTATTCAGAAATTATTTTCAGATCATCAGTTAACTGAGGAAGCCATTGTAGGCCTGCTCTTCCTGCTAGGATTAGACTAGAACTGAGTGAGGCACCAGGAGAGGAGGAACCCTGTCCAAAAGACTCAAAAGTTTCTACTACAGTCGTCCTCCAACCTCCCCAAACCATACCCTGGAAAAGAGGCTTCAGAATTCAGGGAGTCAGGGACCCATTGTCTTGTAGATCTGGCGGGATGAGGCGTAGGCATACCTGAGCAAACTCCAAAGACCGCACTTTGAGCCCAGAAGCTTATTTGGGGTGAGAAAATTGGAAAGGTATTCCAGAACAAGGCCCCGATGATGTCACAAACGAAGTAAAACTGTGAAAATGATTGTTTGGGCTCACGCCAGAGCTGAAGCAATAGATAAACTTGCTGTGGTCCCTGTGTCCATCTTTTTAACAGGGCACCGGCTTTTTTGGGGCTCCCCTACCAGACAGTTCCTGAGTAAGAGGAGACATTTAACTAACTCAAGTTTGGCCCAAGTTAGAAATGACTTGCAAGACCATCTGGAATGAGAGGGCTATTATCTAGACCAGTGGTCTCCAACCTTGGCAACTTTAAGACTTGTGGACTTCAACTCCCAGAGTTCCTCAGCCAGCTTTGCTGGCTGGGGCACTCTGGGAGGTGAAGGCCACAGGTCTTAAAGTTGCCAAGGTTGGAGACCACTGGATTAGAAGACCTCTAAGGTCCCTTCCAACTCTGTTATTCTGGTGTTAAGTAACATTGTAGTGAGGTGTAGTGCCGTACCCTGCCTGGGGAGCAGAGGCGTCTCTAAAAGGCCAAGAGGAATTTTCTGCTTTGGTAAAAAAAAAG